TTGGCCAAGACCAAGTCGTTTTTATCTTTTAAAGACCTGGAAAGGGTTATTAACGCCTTTGTTACCTCGAGGTTGGACTACTGCAACGCTCTGTACGTGGGTATGGACCAGGCCTCAATTAGACGCCTGCAGCTAGTGCAGAACGCAGCTGCACGTCTACTCACTGGCTACAAAAAGCGTGACCACATCACCCCAATTCTGGCCTCACTGCACTGGCTTCCAATTAGGTTCAGAATTGATTTTAAACTCCTTTTATTTGTTTTTAAAGCACTAAATGGGCTGGCTCCGGCCTATATAGCTGAACTCCTCCAGCGCTACACCCCAGCCAGAGCTTTAAGGTCTGCTGACCAGCTGCTGCTGATAGTGCCCAAGACCAGGCTCAAAACCCGAGGGCACAGAGCCTTCGCAGCAGCTGGCCCTAGGCTCTGGAACACTCTGCCCCTCCATGTGAGGTCGGCCCAGACCCTAGGGTTTTTTAAATCTACGCTTAAAACACACTTCTTCTCCCTGGCCTTTTAGTCAGAGCGGAGCACCACTCCTGACTTTTCCCTGTGTTTTCTATATATCTGTTGTAATTTATTGTCTTTTATTATGAATGTAGTAATGTGTTTTTAAGTGATTGTAGTATTTATTACATGTACAGCACTTTGGCCTGACCAAAAATCGCTTTTAAATGTGTTTTATAAATAAACTTTGATTTGATTTGATGTCATCATAATTCCATTGCTGAGGTCTACTAGAATAGATTTGCATTGTTCAATGTTCCAAACTCACATTGGTTTCTCATACAGCATCTCTATATAGTATGTGTATTCACTCTGTCCTAAACGGCTTGTTGGAGCTCCTGCCCCCCCCCTCCCTACTGAGCCCACGTGTGCTCTGATTGGTCAGCTCGCCCACCTCTGTTCTGATGAGTCCACCACCGTTACAGGGGAACGATCAGTGTTTATGTGTCACAATGGCGTTTGTTAGCAACCAGAAAATGACACCAGTAATGACAAACAGATGAGAAGGCTGCGTGGGGTCTGGGTGCCGTGTTGGCGGGACGTTGCGCGGTTCGCTGCTGTGAGAAGCGGACAGTGTGAGCTGGGTTACTGGTGTCATTTTCTGGTTGCAGCGAGACATCGCGAATGGACGTGGGAAGTGGGGGTAACTGAGGGGGCTGCAGCACCCCCATCTGCGAGGCTCCACTATTTCTAAAATTTAGAAATGGAAGCACTCTAGTAAATGCCCAAGAAAGCATAAATAAACTAATTAATTCCAATATTTCTTGTAGCTCCCTAAAAACAACTTTATAAAATAGATTGTTAACATAAATAACAATCTTGCGAGCAGAATTTTGCCTCTGAGAAGCTCAGTGCACCTCAGAGCACACAGCTCCAGAATTCCTTTCGCCAGGACTATACACTAAATCTTCCTTAGTTCAACTGGAACACACACACACATCTCATTTTATTAATCCTGTCAGCCGCATAGGAGCGTGTGTGTGTGTGTGTGTGTGTGTGTGTGTGTGTGTGTGTGTGTGTGTGTGTGTGTGTGTGTGTGTGTGTGTGTGTGTGTGTGTGTGTGTTTGTTTTTCTGCACATGTGCCTTAAGGGGTCCAGCATCTGCTTCAGCACTACAACTATTCTGCGGAGTCACAAACATCTGAAAAGGAAGGACATTCAAATAGAGGTTATGTAAGTGAGTGAAAAGGTCCTGGGGGGTGAGTTACTGAAAGAGGGGGCAGTGAGTTCAGGTGATATGCAGTCGTGTGTGTGTGTGTGTGTGTGTGTGTGTGTGTGTGTGTGTGTGTGTGTGTGTGTGTGTGTGTGTGTGTGTGTGTGTGTGTGTGTGTGTGTGTGTGTGTATGTTTGGTATGAAGTTGTTAAAGACAGATTCTTCTTCTCACATCCCTGACACCCTCCCTGCTGGATATCGCTCTCCTCTCCGCTATCGCTGCTGAAGGAAGATCTTTGTTAATTCCCTCATTCACGTCAGTTCCGCTGTTTCCTAAATCTTTTTTTCGATCACTCCTGTACTTCCTCTTGCTTCATCTCATTTCCTCCAGCAGCCCGGGTCAGATAAATGTGATCACACGGTGAGGAGGAAAGAGCAGCCGGGAATTCTCCTCTAAAGTTTGTTTGTCTGGGATTTAAAAATGGAATTAGTGGATGGTGACATCTTTCTGCACTCATTAGCATACCGAAGCCAGCATTTCTGGCTTTCCCTACATCAGTCAAGAGCAATTAAAATACATTTATATGGTCTTAATGCACAGCTATTTAAA